AATAGAATTCAGTAACTGAGAGGACCAAAAGCAAGGCAGACTTAGGCAAGAGACAATGCAAAATAACTTAAAAGTATTTACGAGGGTAAAGCCGCTGTTTTTAAAAGATGCCTTGATTAATAATTTACATTTCAGAATGCCAAGGTTCAGTTATTGAAAAGCAAATAAATTTGTAATATTCCGACAAAAGAGAATGTAGAAATAAATATATTCACTGGACAATTTAATTTAAATAATTTAATATAAAGAATTCATCTTTAAAAATATCACATCTTTTAATAATATCTTTCTGAAACACTTAAATGCTGATATCTCGTATTTCAGTGACATTTGGAACACATTTGATTCATGTAACAGTAGAAATCAATGAATATTAATTATCTGATTTGCATATTGGTTATTTATTGCCCAAAACTAGTCAACAGTATGAAAGCAAAACAGCTTTTTTGTAAACGTGTTGTCATTATGTGAACATATCATGTTCATATAAGTCGTTTTTTATGATGTTAATGTAAATGAGTTTGAATGTGTTTACATAACATGTAAAGTGGGGGAAGTCAACCTTGTAATCTAACAAGCGTGTATAGTATGTATGTTTGGTAGGGATGCCCACCTAAAGAATGGCCTCATTGCCGCGTTGCAATGTGTATGAGTAAAGACGGCTTTATCCCCAATGTGCCCCTCTAAATCCGACACTGACTAAATGTATGTGATACGTGTTATTGTGTCCTCTATCATGAACCTTCGTATATGTGAACAATTTGACACTTATATATAAGTATTAAATCAATATGAGTATAGCTCAGCAATTATTCTGCATCAAGACTGGAAGACCTTGACCAAAGATACAGATTTATTACCTAAAATCAGATTAAACACCCATACTGTAAATCAGGAACTAGGTTATCATTGTTGTTTATTGGTGCTGTCTGTTATTGATTTAGCCATTTTTCAATGCGTGGTACTTTAGCTAATATTGAGGTCGACAATTCCCAAAACATAGTCAGTGTTTAGGTGAAACGTAACAATAATAATAAGATTATTTTGATAGTGTATTAAGCCTTATACAAATTCACATCTAAATTCAGCTTACTGTAAATATCAAGGACTACATAGTGTGTCAAAAACACTACATAACTTACGCACATGTTATTTATAATATCGTCATATATATGATACTCAAAGAACGGTGGGGGACACTAAAGGTAGTAAATGATCTTTTAGGGCTGAGATTCTGGTCAACGTCCGGGCACACCGGGTCGGACGCGTTTGCTAAAACTAACAAGCCATTTTTAGTATGCGTGTGTAAAACAAATAAATTTGTATAGAAAGACTATTACAGATTCTCGTTTTGAAAATCGTGCTTCAAAACCAGGTTGCTCTAACAAAAATGAAGAAAGAATTGGAACTCGTGAGAATGTATGATACTGTTGTCTCATTTAAACTACTTCACATTCAGTTAGCGGTAAGCAGTCATACAAGAATGAATAATGGAGACTCAGATTACATATTATTAATCTCTTTGACAAAGTATTTTGTAAAATACACAAACCACTTATGTAGCGAATAGTGAGTTTGATATTTATACGATTATTGATGGAATTAGGTTATCGCTACTGTGTTTGTCATTCTCCTAAAACATTCTCATAAAACCAACTTCACGCATATACAATAAACATCAAGAGTTTAGTGACTAAACTCAAGGTAATGCCCACGCTAACGCATGTTAGTTATCGGTTGCCATTACAATGAGTGGAATTTCAGACAATTTTAAGGATGATAATTCCTAAGACATGGTCAGTAGGTAGAAGACATATATCCGCATATTGTAACAGATTATTTTGACAGTATAAACAAATGTTTCCGCCAACAAGGTCGATAACAAGGTTGAGAACACTAGTTGAATTTGTTGGCATACAATCGCACAGTTTTATCAATAAACCAGCTCCCCTGGATGATCCTAGTACAATACCATGCCCGTCAATAGGGTGATACCAGTATTATCACGACACTATTTGCCAACTATGCAGTACTGAATACAGAAGCAGAAGCAGTGGAAATACATATTCGCCCATATTTTGCCAAATCATCCGTGGTACAACCTGCGTGTGAGCGTAGTACATTGAGTGAAAATTCACTGAAAGTGCAACACTTCTGAAAAAAGGTGCTCCACAATTTTCTGTAACACTGTGCCTTCCTTGTTTCCTTGACCGAAGTTCCATCACCAATATTTATCACAGTTGACTCATCCATTTTCCCATTGGGGTCGCTAATCGTGGTACTCAGAATAATTCAAGACTCACCGAGTGGTTTTCCATCTATTCCATGTCTTCTGCACTCTTCACCAAACATCGTGAAGGGAAACGACTCTTGAAGACACTCTTTTCATTTGTCTACTGATTACATCTTTTGCTGTTATTAGTTCAATGTCACTGCTATGTTTCAATGCGTGTTCTGCAAATTCAGCAGTGTTATTACTGACTGCAAGTTCTAATTCAAGATCACTCTTTTAATTTTTACTTTCAAGTCTTCCTTTTTTATCACTTCCGAGAGAAGCTTCGTTCTTCTAATTCCGAGTTTCTTAAACAGTTGATTGAAGAAATGTTTTATTTCTTTCTGTGCAACTGCCTTTGTGTTGGCTTGATGTGCATTTATTTCCTTTATAAGAGAGTTTAACACGTTGCTCCTTATTTCTAAAACTTTTTTTTTTCTATTTTGCTAACGCCGGCACAAAATAGTGTAAGCTCCTGATTTTTATGATTTATACCTCGGAAGCAATATGTTTTACGTCGCAGCATTGATTCATCTATACCATTTTGAGGATTCTGTCAATTCCTCCATTGGTTTTACTTCATGGGTTTTAGACCAAGTGAATGGACATGTGCTTCATCGCATAGACTACAGAGGAATGCACGGCAATTAGTACAAAACGAGATGGCAGAGGCATCTTGATTTCGATTACAGCTCTGACATGGGATAGAAAGTTTCTTGGTTACCTTGTCTTGTGTTACAAAATATTGACTTTCGTTTTGTATGATTTTTTAGGGATACCATAAACGCCGTTTGTGTTTTTGTCTGCATTCTGGGCAATTGAATTCTTCCTTTGTTCCGATATGCTTGGACAAACACGATTTAGAGTATGTGTGTAGACAGGGAAGATATTCAGGAATCTTCTCGGTATCATTGTGCTCGTTGCAAACATTTATCAAATTCGTCCTTGCTGATTCGAACACGTTTAACTCTACCACGATAAAGGATACCAAATATAGTTCTGAAATATATGCAAGTTTGAGAGTTGGCTGTGTATATTTCTAGTTGCACTAGACTTTGCATCAATCATTCCGTTATTTTCCATGCATTTATCTAGCAAACGTTTGTATTTGTGAACTGTTAATAACAATGATTTAATGCAGAGAACAAATGCATTCTGTCGAGTTACGAGACGACTATATGTCCATATACACGGGGTGTGACATGTTAAGTTAACTATTGATATTGCTGCAGTTTAACAATAAGTTTGGCAATATTTTGGCACAAAATAAGTATATTTTTGAGTTTATCCGTATAGTTTCGACCAAATTGTTGTTCTAAAATGATGGTGATACTTTAGAAATGTAAATTAGATTTCTTCCTTTCTACGGCTCTTGAATCCTGCAATTTGGTTGGTAGAATCGACGTCGTGTGAAATGGGTATACTGGAGACTGGGGTTCGTAACAAAGTTCGCAGAGTGATTTATCTCCCCGATTGCGAAATAGTGCCTTTATAGTTTGGCGAGACGTGATTTAGCATTCAGTCCTCTACCACGAACGCTATCAGGTACAGGTTGCCAAACTTCGGCAGTAACGTCACATACATTTTCTCAAATCTTCGTAAGTATTAACCATACAATGATATTGTTCATTATCGATTGCCTTAAAATACTTTCAGTATATGATATCTGTGTGTATGCGTCTGTTACCAATGAGAGAAACATTGTTATGTGGGGGGATTTGGCATTTCTGTTTAGCGTTTCAATGTGTCGATGAACTTAAATCTGTCGTTTTTTTTAATCAGATTTCAATCAGAAAATCGCAGGCAATTCAGGGATCAGTGCCACAGTATTTTATCCGCGACTTACCATAGATACAGCGATGGGTGTGGTTCTTTTTTATAACATCTACGGTAACAATATGTAATATACGTCATTTTGCATAGCAACTAAGTATACACAATTACCCATTCTAAATTTTAAACATTCTGCCTCAAAACTTCATTAATCCGAGTATTTGTTTTAATCATTTCAAGTAAGAAAATGAACAATTGGCGAAACTATAATTTGTATTGACTCGTAATTGTACAGTTCGATTGTCACAAACCGCAATGTAGAGTGGTGTCTACTCAACGTTAACGTTGTTCTAATATGTACGGTATGTGAGTTATTATGCCCTCTGTCGTCTACCCACTGTTCCATATGCACTTTACACTGACCTATTGACCAGCATCACGTTACACACTTTCCGTACACGCATTAACCGGATTATGAATTGAACGATAATCTATAAATAAAAATACGAATTGTAGAACGAAAATGAAGTAATTCGAACATACGATGTGACCAAACGTACACGGAACACCTTAGTCTGGTTATATCGTCCTAATGCAGAGCCAAAAATAAGAAAAATGTTACCAGGTTCGAAGAGCACTTTCATTTGGATGCCGTGGCTGTGGACCATGTCGTTGGTGCCATACTCATGAAGCTATATAAAACAAATCATCCACTGGGTTGTCAGTTCTGATGGAAATTGATGTGATATACCATCGAAGATAAGTTGCACTTGTCAAACTGTTTATTTTTCCTATTTCTGTGTAACTGCCTATAATTGTGTGAGATGATGTGTAATCCAGTAGTTAATTGGTGCGTTTTACAATTACCATACTAAGCTAGTACCAAATATGCAATAAACTGTAATGATAACCTGTACAGAAAATCAAATCTTAGATTTACTCTTGTGTTTTACAGACAACAGATGACAACAATGGCGGGAATTAGTGATACAGATCTTGTACGTAAAGGTGAAAATAAAGTGCCACTGAAGTGTTCACTATGCAAACATGTGTATGACGTCACCGACAGACTACCTAAGTATCTTCCCTGTCTCCATACATTTTGTGCAATTTGTCTAGCTAGTGATGTTGGTAGAATATTCCAATGTCCCGGATGTCAACAGGAGAGCTACATTCCCATACGCATGGACGTAATTCCAACAAATTTCGCATATCTAAATTATAATCAATTACTTTGCCATAAAAATCAGATTAAGCACAGTAATCTACCAACCTGCCAAAGCTGTTGCCGTAACAACCAAACACTGAATGTTTCACATTGTTCGGACTGTGAGGCATACCTTTGCCAAAGTTGTCATGACCACCACAATCATATCGAATCTTTGAGCACACATGAAGTGAAAACCATTGAAGAATTGAAACAATTATCAGAAGAATTACTTATCTCA